GTGCATTCAACTCTTTAGTCAAGAAGTGATAGAAGATCAAAGAGACATTAAAGCACAAATGAACTAAAAACAGTACTTAATTAAACTGACAGTGAGCACACAAGCTCAATAAGGGGCCCAGAGCAAGAATCATCTGACTCTGTGTGTATTCATTGTGTTTTGTGTCTTTCTGTGTGTTGATTATTTTGTCATGATTGGATTTAATACACATGTATTCAGGGGTATGCACCATGTAAGTCAACTTCTCTTCTCTAAGTATCTCTGTGACTGGTAGATATTCCAACAAATTTGCATCATGTAACATATTCACCTCCCACAGTCAGCACCACCCTGATTATTATACTGACACAATTCAGTTACAGATCAAGAGTCTGACTCACCTGAAACTTTCTTCTGCAGTTCTTCATTCTGTTTCATCACATCTCTCTGTCCTCCCTCTGTCCTCTGTTGTTGTTGCTCTGTTGTATCCAACTCTTTAGTCAAGAAGTGATATAAGATCAAAGAGACATTAAAGCACAAATGAACTAAAAACAGTACTTTATTAAACTGACAGTGAACACACAAGCTAAGGGGCCCAGAGCAAGAATCATCTGACTCTGTGTGTATTGACTGTGTTTTGTGTCTTTTTATGTTGTTCATTTTTTTTATAATTGGGTTTAATTATGGGCGTCGCGGACGCGGGGTAAATGTGGGACATGTCCCCCGCACTTCCCGTATCTGTGCCCTCTGTCCCAAGCACTTAACATGTAATAACGTGTTTTTCCGAGCCGTCTTTAAATGCACCATGAGTAGGCGGCGCCAGGCGGCATACACATGCTGTTCTGTTGTGATGTGAATCAATCGCACAGATGAGACGTGTGCTGCTGGGCAGTACTGCTGTGTGTTAACTATGTTTAGCAATCCAGCCAGCAAGAAGCAAAAACCTTGCACAGTTTCTTCCAAACAAACCGTGTAAGTTGAGTAATGCTGCTGCATGTAAATAATGTTAGCTAAATGATGACTAATTAATAGATGCCAATATATCAAGTTAAGCTAGTTAACAAGAACACTAATGTTATTGTTACCTATGTTAAATCGCTTGCTAGCTAGTTTTATGCTAGGAAAAAACCCACTCCTCCATAATAAGAACTTGTGCTCACTATTGCTTTGCACATATATTTTTAATCTTTATTGCCACAATATAAAGAGCAGGGTCAGGGAGGAGACAGTGGACCAGAGGCCAGTTATGATGATCATGCAGGGTCTTCACAGGTTAGTAGAGATTATAACTGGCTGATAGAAAATATCTATAGCATAAAAGTGACTTTGAGGTTAATTTCCACAGCTATGTCACCACTACTATTCTTAATTCTATTTATAAATTTTGCTTTGCACATTTATTATCTATATTATTGCAATAGATAGAAGAGGGACAGGGAGAAACCAGGCAGGTATCTGGCACTTAATTATCTGGCTACTTACCCTGTAGATGTTCGAGGGTCATTCTGTTTCAACTCAAACAGAGTTTGGCAGCTTAAACTTTAGATTTTGATAGTATATAATTTTAAAGAACCAAAGTCAGTCCCCTGGTGCTGTACTGTGGCTATTTGTGGTTATGTAGTTCTTTAGCCGCTAAGGAGAGGTGCAATTGAATGCGAGAGGATGATAAATCACTCAATAGGCCTCTGAACAATTTGTCCCCCTTACTTATGAAATGATGGCTACGTCCCTGGGTTTAATGCACATGTATTCAGGGGTATGCACCATATAAGTCAACTTCTCTTCTTATCTTCAACTGGCAGATATTCCAACAAATTTGCATCACGTAACATATTCACCTCCTACAGTCAGCACCACCCTGATTATTATACTGACACAATTCAGTTACAGATCAAGAGTCTGACTCACCTGAAACTTTCTCCTCCAGTTCTTCATTCTGTTTCATCATATGTCTCAGTTCTGCCTCTGTCCTCTGTAGCTGTTGCTTCAGTGCATTCAACTCTTTAGTCAAGAAGTGATAGAAGATCAAAGAGACATTAAAGCACAAATGAACTAAAAACAGTACTTAATTAAACTGACAGTGA